ACAAAATGTCAGGGGTGGGATTCGAACCCACGATCCCATACTGGGAAGCAGACGAGAAGTCTACCGCCTTAGACCACTCGGCCACCCTGACATACGATCCTCGATCACACATGCTCTACTTAAGTTACCACCTGATACGACGCCATGTGAATCCTCGATCACGTAGCAACGATAAGATCGGCTTAAGTTAGGTACACAGTTAACAACTGATAAGTCGCTCTGTTCATCCTCGATCACTTAGGCCCCTGGGTTAGGTACGAGTTAGGGGATGATAAGACCGCCATCACTTACGCCCCTAGGCTAGGTACGAGTTAGGGGATGATAAGACTCACCCCATCGTTAGGTTAGGTTGTGTTAGGGGATGATAAGACCCACCCCATCGTTAGGTTAGGTTGTGTTAGGGGATGATAAGATCGCTTATGTCCGAATGGGGGACGTGAGGTGGGGGTGGGGGCATGTCCGAATGGGGGACCAAGATGGCGGATGTCCGAATGGGGGTACCTTACTACTCATAACGAAGTTGCATTATCTGTTGAAATCCGAGATTGTATCTTCCCGAAGACCAACACTTCGTGAAATTCCCTCCAAAAACCATAATAGCGTGAAGTACTGCTCGAATTGCGACGACATGCCGTGGTCGTGGACTCGCCAAAGGTGTTTGCGGGTTGTTTTGGGGGTGTGCTGCGCATCCCTCGCCAAATGGTGGAAGTTGCAGCCCGCACTCTCTGCCCCTCACTTCGTACGCCCCCGGTATTTTGGGGGGCTGTTGCGCAACCCCCGCCAAAAACTGGGTGTTGCAGCCCCCAACCCCTTCACCCCACTTCTGCCCCCCCTCCCCCCTTGTCATCTGTATCCAAGACCAGCTGATATTGCTAAATTGGTCCGGTCCCCAGTGAGAAATGCAGATGCAAATATCGAAATATCTCACTGGGATAGTGGTCGGCCATAACGGGATCGTCTAGAAAAATCTCAATCAAGATCGATCTTGAAAGCAGATGATACAAATTTAAGAATAGGTCTTCTTTGCTCTAATTTTTTCTCAAATTAAGCTACGTAGAGGAGGATATAAGGGCAGGTAGAGCGGCGGGCGTCGGTTGCCCAGTATTGTTGGGCAGGGACGGGGCCTGCACTGCCTGGCGCAGTATTGTCGGCGGGAGGCGGTAGCGCGTAAGCAAAGCGGCTTATTAAGCGCGACGGCCATTCCCTCAGCGCCCAATGATGTTGTTTGTGTTTGCCGGTTTGCGCTAGGTCTCTTCACTTTTAGTTTGCTTCCTCTCGTTTACCCTACCGAGAGTTAAAGCTGCTGACACATTGATATTACAAATAAAAAGGAAGCAAAGGTTCGTATGTAGTTTAAAACAACCGTCAATTCGTTTTTGGTTTTAGCCTAGGTTTTAGCAGTAGACGAAGCGTGATGGTTCGTCTCAAGAGTTTTATTTGGCCATGACATCGAGCTCAACATATGCGCACTGTATGCAGCCCTTTCGCCAGGGTAAACCACTCGTCGATAGACCGCGGTAGCGGCCGTACGGCAACGCTGGAAACTTTCCCATTTGAAAGGCAGTAGTGCTGTTGAAGTTGTAAGTCCCCTGCGATAAATAGAAATTAAGGTAAGAGCATGAGTTAGCAGCTGTCAGAAAAAGTGAAGTCTTCTTTCCCAGTACCATCAGCAAGCGTCGGAAGAGAGAGAATCGCCCGACTCATTTCAAACTCTTTCCGGAATTCTGAAGAACGTTAGCGACTTTTTCAAGTAGAAGAGTCCACTAAATCCACACTTCAAAATGCTTGCAAAGAGTTGGCTCGGATTGTAAAAACTTTTCTATGCAGGTTGCAATCAATTTTGAAGCATTACAAGAGTTACTTTTTTTTGCAATACGAACTACTTGTTTGCAGCGTTTGACAGCTCACAAAGAATTTCTTCGTTTCACGAACTGGTTATTGGTTCTATGTATGAAATTCAATTGATCACAAGTTTTTGGCAAACAATGTAAATAATAAAGACTTCAAGGGTTTCAGAGGGTGTCTTTTTTCGAGGTATCGTCCCTCACAAACGAACAAAATATTTAATGGGTTTTGGCCATTTCGACTCGGGCCTGCTGATATTGCTTCGTCAAGCGAGATGAGGAGCTAAAGACATGCAACAGTGTTCACAATATTTTTTTGTGCTCCCTTTTTGTCAGAGCGGTGAGGATAAGTAGGCGAACGATAGTGTGTCGTGCAATATGATAATTCACTTGTTTATCTCACAATAGGAATGACGCAGCCACCAGACGAGTCCCTTTGGAAAAAGTTCGAGAAGTTTCCTACTAGGTTCTGTTTCATCATTGAACACCCTTTTGATGGGTAGTTGAATACGATTGCGTTCGGCGTCCACTTGTTGTTAGACCAAGTGTCAAAGACAATACGTTCCTGGAAGGAAACTTGCGTAAGAAAGTACATGATAAAGGACAGGCCCATCTCCCGGCCAAGCGGAGAACTAAGGCGTAAAGGTTTGCCTACGCACTAGGCTGGCAACAGCCACCCCACCGCGAGGCCGGGCCCAAGGTAGGTCAGGCTGCCTATGTACCAGGCGCCTCCGAGTCAGGGTTAAAAGTGAACCAAAGGTTACGGGAAACCGTAACACTGGGGGAGCGACATTTTTGTAAGTTGCTCGTTTTGTGTCACATTTGCCACCTTTTCAGTTGCAGATATCATTTGTTTTGAGTGTTTTTTGTTAACATTGCCCTATTGGAGCAATGAAAACATACGTCGTCGCTCTATTTGTGCGAAAAAGAGACTCTATCCTATACAGTGCACCCGCTTCTCTGATTGGTCGTATATGCTTACCCAATATGAGTCGTTGAATGGTAGACTGTATGTGACATTAATGAATTTCGTCTGCATTTCATCTCTTTTGTGAGGATTAAAGCGTGAGAATTTTACTGTCCAATGGATACCACCGTCGTACCCCTTTTCTCCAATTGCACAATTATAGTGCCGGTGTAAAACCATGAAGTATGGCCCCTGGAAAAGAAATCAATCGGGGGTTAAAAAAAAAAGTGGGAGGAATGCCCGCTTTTTCCACAAACCCGTGATTAAATGCCACCTCCATTACTCATTACTATTACTAGGCAGAGAGGCAGATCGAGGTTTGAATTACTTGATATTTTTCTATACACATGAGTAGTGCATTATTGAGGAGTACATTGAACACAAAATACGCTACACAGAGTACAGTTAAATACAGGATGAGTGCATCGCAATCACGGGAAGACTGCATAATGGGCACAATCACAAGTACAGCATGAGTGCACACAAGAGATGAGCGAACATGTTCGCATTCGATCGAACTCGAACGAACATCGAGCTGTTCGTGATCGCGCAAACGCTAGACAGCTGCAACGAGCGAGCAATGAGACCCAGTCAAAAATGGATCGTTGACTCGACGTCGAGTTGACTTCTAATTGGCCGTCGACAAGTCGTCGATGACAATGGTTGTCATCGACGCAAAAATGGCCGCAAAATCGACTAGCTATCGACGTCGACCATAAAACCCAGTTATCGACGTGGTTTCAATAGTTCGTCGTGCGAAGTCACATCGATCAAATTTTGATCATGAATATAAAATGCTTTTGTAGGCAAACGATTGCTAGACTAAAGGAAGGGGTAAAAAAGATCCTCACCTCTGAGTAGGACAGGCTCAAAGGTGGGAAAAACCAATTGAACCTTAGAATTTATCCTGTTCTTACTTGTCTTCAAAAAAATTGTGAAATGACTCAACTTGGCCCAAGTGCGGTTTCCTTTCACCAGTTCCACCTTCTGATCATTTATAAAACATCAAAAAGGCTCGTAGAGACTTGCAAATTGTTTGGATTTGAAGAGTTCTGGCTTCAAGGACATTTCCACTTAGGGTAGGGGGGGGGGGACTGGTATCCCATTGCCTGTCCATTTCTCTTTAAGGGGAGACCCTACTGAAATTCCGATTTTCAAGGAAATTTGACCTTACCGATAATCGAATATATTTTAATGTTGTTCTGTTAAAAAAAACTAACGTTCAGATTTTTTACCGAATATTTAGAAGCATTTTAACCTATTTTCATGACCAGTTTCAATTTCAAAATGGTTGTTTATCACAAGTCCCTTGCGAAAAACTTTTGGATCTAGCATTCTGCGTTTTGGGACCTATTATCTATAAGGAACAAAAGTTACCCCGAATAAAAGTTTACTGAGCCTTTAAAGACTGACAAAAACAGCTACTTCGAAATTTTGGACGAAGTCGCCATATTTTCAGTACGGTCTCCCCTTAAAATGTGCCCACACCTAGGTTTCTTAGTCAGATAATTCCGGAGAGAAGTTGTGCGCAAAATGTGAAAGTGGAAATGCCCCAGAGGCCAGAACTCTTTAAACCAAAACAATTTCCAATGAATCTATGGCTCTTTGTGTGTTTTTGAAATTATCAGAAAGTTGAACTGGTGAAGGGAAACCTCACTTGGGCCAAATTCTCACAATTCGCAAACCTAACCTGTCACGAGCCGGCCGGTGCGGAATGAGAAGTCACTCAATCCTTTCATATTACAAGTGACAAATCGGTTTGGAAAGTTTTACACAAAAAAGATAGAGTTTTAGTAACTATATAAAATGAACAGAACCAAAAAGGAAAAACTTTCTGAAAGATTTTCTGCCGTTTTTTGAAAAATAAACAAATTTCCTCCGTATCACCCTGAGTTTTCACGCAGCTTTTCTTATTTCTATAAACCAGAACTGGAAATAAATACAGGTAATACTTGGATCAGAAAGACGACAGACGCACCTCACGAACTTTGAGATTTTGATCAATCTCCTTTTCACGTTAGTTTCAAGCTTTCAATTAATATTATTTTCTAAAATTAAAACAGCGCATTTTAAATTAGTTACCAAACCAACAAAGCGAAAGTACCAGTCAAACGTGGCGACAAATTTAAATCAGATAACGAAAGCCAAGCGAAAATTAATCACTTACTGTCAGTCACCTTGTGTCAGTCTGGTCAACGACAACTTCATCACTTCGATTTGACCAAAGTTTCAGTGGTCTTGGCATCTAAACAAAGCCAACGTTGAAGGGTTGAATCGACGTCGAATCGACTGGCAACTCCAACATGCCGTAAGCCAGTCGTTTTGCGGAGTGGCTCGCTAGCGCCACAGATCGCAAGCGCTACGGGTCACAAGCGATACAGCGCGCTTGCGATCTGTAGCGCTTGTGACCTACGTCGCTATTTCGACATGTTTGCATTTCAAACTATAATGTATGAAAAATAATATACATGTGGGTAGTTTTTATGTAAAGTTATTGAAACGTCAAAATTCCGTTGACTTTTTTGATATGTCGACTGCGCCATTGATACGACGTCGACTCGACTCGACGAACCATTTCTGACTGGGGCAAGCGTCCGCCTCTGTAGCCGACCGCGGCACCACCATGGCTCTCATCTGTTTGATCGTAGCCGCCCTTGCTTTGCTCGCTCGTTGGCTAACACACAGCGCGAGTAACGCGAGCAAATCTTACTCTCTGTGGTGTAGCTGCGTGGTGCAACACGCGCGCTCGGATGCTGCTTTGGACGCGAGCTACGCCAGCAGATTACACTAGCAGATTTGCTCGCAGATAGCTCATGAGCAAAATCTTTCTCCTTCTCGCATTCCTATTCAGGTAGGAGGGGCCCCCTGGCGCGTCGCCCCTAGAGAAGATAGCTTAAACTGGGCTGTCGATACCAAATTTTCTGAAATCGGCTCATAGTAGAGCCTCACAGTGAAAGCAAGACCTGGAGTATTCCTCATTATCCAGGGGAATTGGAAGAGTCCCAGGGAACGTCTGGGAGACGTCCTGGGTTTCCCAGTAGGGCTCGTGGGTTTCCCAGTAGGGCTCCTGGGAATCCCAGGGAACCCCTGGGGAACCAATTCTCCTGGGAATCCCAGGACACGGTTTAACCGTGTGCAGAGCGTGCAATGCACTTTGAGGAGGGGGGTCACGGGCGCTACAGTAGCTACTCCACTGAAGCTAGTTTCTCTAGGTGGCCCTATGAGCAACTTTGCTTACAGCCCTAAGCTCGTAGCGCGTTGCTCTCATTGCTCAGTCGTTGCAGGTCCCTCACGAACGCGAAATGCTCGGATTCGAAATGTTCGAGTACTTCTCTAACAGAAGTTCGTAGGAGAACAGTATTGGAGTGTTTCAGAAAGACGTGTCATCTATGGTTGTAATAAAGGGGGCAGTGGCAGGTTAGTAAATAAATACAATTTTAAGCGTTAACGGAACTATTGTAAACGAGCGTGGTTAGCTTTTAAAAATCATAAGAAATTCACATTTCAGAATCAGTACTGTCTGCGGGGTAGCGGTGACGCGGTCAATGGAAGAAGCAAAAAAAAAAAAGTCCAAAACGTCCGTGTACTAGGCTACTGTGCACTGCAGGCGTGTAGTGTGGGCAGGCTAAGTGACGTCACCACAGGCGCAAATACCTGTTTTTCAAAATTTCTCTTGTGAACGCGTAACCGCTACCCCGCAGACATTACTGATTCTGAAAGGACTCAGTGTGCCCTCGGTTTTCATGCAATAAAACGGGCTTCTTCGGCATTATTTGATGTAAATGGCGAGTGATGGGGCGCACGTTTAGGCCCCTGGACACTCCCCGTCAACATCAATACAATCTTAAGTAGGTTGCAATACTACCTGAGCTATTTCAGCAAGCATCCACTGATTCATGGCATTCAAAGGTTTCATAGTACCAATGCAAAACATATTTTCAACCATTTTTGAATGTAATTTAAGGTTCATCCACTTATGTCGGAGTTGTTCACAATATTGTTTCACAGCAGCATTCTTTAAATTGTGAACCATCAGAGGGAGATTAGTCACCATAGAAAGGTTTGATCAAATTTGGAGCCCTGCATGTCTGGTTCCATTTATAAGCTGCACAAGCCTGCCATCCATATCTTCGAATCTAAAGCAATTCGTGACCCAAAGAGGAGCCAAATATTCCAGACTCTTACCAAGATGCAAAAGCATATGCAAATTGTGACTCGTGTGTCTTTTACCATACAATTTTTCAAAGTTTTCAACCAAAATACTTAAAATTGCAGAGGCTTCTTTGATATCATCAGAACTTATACTAGAAGTATTTAACATAGCAACACCATGAACAAACAGAATAAAATGTTCAAAATAACCTGTGGGAAGGACACCTGCAAGAACACATAATGAGAAATTAAATAAAAATGCTCTTAACATTGAAGCTTTCCAATGTACTAATTTATCAAGGGCTTCTGGCATTCTATCAAGAAAATGAGGTAGGTCAATCTCAAGTATTCTATTATTGACAATGTCCATTTTTGAAAAGAGAGAATACGGTTTTTTCTGATTGTTTTTATCAGTTCAAATGTTCAGCATTTGCCGCATAACCCCCAGAAAAACACAATGCATTGAATCAATTGCAGTTGATAAGAACATATTGCTTAACATATAAAAAAGATAAGTCGGGCCTTTTATTCCGCAGCAACCTGGGTCATTCTGTAGTGCCTTGTTCTGAAGAACGTTGTGATCAATGGCAAACTGGACATTATCATGGTACTTTTCTAAAGTTCTTTCTTCAAATTGTCTATCAAATGGGAACACAGTAACATCATCAGTTTCTTCTGAGTTTTCACCACGGCACAAACAAAATGCACAAGAAACAAGCGGGCCCGCCCTTCCGCCAAATGGAGTTGCCAGCTCAGGTTCGCTGCGCCGGCAACTCCGTTCGGCAGGGGCCGGGCCTGCTTGGCCTACCGGCGGCGATGGTCGGGCCGCAGGCCCGACCATTTCATTCACGCATTTTCTGAAGAACATAATCAAATAATAAAGCAGGCCTCCGACCCGCTAAAACCTGTTGTCTTTAAAATTTGCCCCTTTGACATGAGAAAGGAATGTAACGGTGACGCAACGTGACCACAACCCACCCTTCTGCTTAGAAAACCTGTTTTTTGGTTTCGTCAAAAAAGACCCTCCAGCGCCCAAACTGTTATAGAGACAAACGGACAAAATTTTAGCCCAAACGATTCTACTTTCGCGAATTACCCCTTAGCAGAACATAAAAAATATTAACTTTTTGGACATAATTCTGTTCCTTTGATACCACAAATCTCACCCTTCGGGGTGGTTGCCAGGATTTGCCGTAGGCGCCTCGTTTTCTAGGAGTGATACCCTGAAATTTTGAAGTCTCTAGCACATCTTCTTCTGATGGAACAGACATACAGACACACAGACACGGGGTCGTTTGCAGAAGCCCGCTAGGTAGCTTTTCTAAAGCAGAAGGGCGGGCTAAAAAAAAACCAGAGTGGGTTTTCATATTCAAAAAGAAGAAACAGCACAAGTGCCACACAAAAGTTTGACGCAACCCTTATTCACAGAAGTCTCATTTATGCTAATACCCTTCTCCAGATCTTTCAAGTCATAATAAATATTTTTAATAGTTTAACTAGGGTGAGGCTTTGTCACACCACACCATATTCCACCAATTAACAAATTCTCTGTCAGGGAACGCTTGTTAGGAGGCAACTCATTGATTACCAAATAAAGGGGCCACAGAGACATTAGGGACAAATTGTTGGCTGAGCGATAGCGAAGCCCATTACTGCACTGACTGAAAAAGTTTCATTCTGTTTGTTTGTCTGTTTGTTTGTCTGTCTGTTCGCATATAGGGTAGTGCAGCGCCTACAAGATGGTCTACCTGTCTGGCGCCAAGGTTGGGCCAAAACGAAAATCGCAATGCGATCCGGGTAAACGTTGTCGCACAGGCCCCGGACTTTGCACACGGTCTCTTATAGGTCAAAACTACCATTTAGGCTCCGTACCTCAAATACGTTTAGGGTGGGATGGGCTATCGTACATGAGTACAGAAATAATTCATCCTTCGAGGAAGATGCACGCCAGACCACGTCTCGCGTGACTTGCTACCCACTACTTAACAAAAGCTGATACTTATGTTTTTCTAGTGCAAAAATCAGACAAGGCGTACAAAGAAATTTTCGGAAACACGCGGAGTGCCAGATGTTTTTCCCCCTCATGGATGTAAAAATCTGATGCCACAGTCACAGTGAAGGAAGGGGAGGGTGAGAAGGGGGGCGGGTGGTCAGGTCAGCGTAACGTAGTTTATGAGCGGCTTTTATAACTTTCCCTTGTATTTGCCGCTATACTCACTGCGAAAGAATGCATCCATCGAGCGTCACTAATAGCGAAAGCGAAAATCAGGAATCGGATAGAAAGACGGGCATTATCGTGCATAGCAGCTTCTGCAATCTGCGAATACAAAAAAGAGCAGTTGCAAGTAGAAAATGTTAAAATAGCAACGACGTACGCCCAGGAAACACTGTAAAAATCTATAGAATTAACAACAAATTCAAACTGTTATGTGGAATAACGGTGGTACACTGTTAAATTTTGACCTCTATCCTGGTGTAGGGGGTGGCAGTACAGCCCGTCTTTGTCAAAATTCATTGTAGACCGTAGGAGAGGGCACAAAATTTAACAGTATGCCATCGTAATTCTAATTAACAGTTTAACACTGTTGTAAATGCTGTAGATATTTTTTACAGTGAAAGTGGTAATGCATATTGTCAAGCAAAAACGAGACATCCCCGTTTCGTTTTTTGTCTCACTTCCTCCCTCCATTGGCCTTAACAAGCCTCTATGTGCGACTCTTCATAAGATATCTGAACGAACCCAACAGAGTCGACAAAGACTTGTCTCGGTTAAAAAAGTGGCAAGTGGCAATGGGCTACCTTAACTAAATATCTAATAGTATCGAGAGTATGTGGTAATGATACACACCGCGGCAATACACAGCGCTTCTCTTCCATGCAATGCAGTTTCTGCGCTAACAGTTCTAACCGAGGTGCTCTGTCTTCAACCGGATGTAAAAAGGTTGCGTGTTAAAATACAAAATACTATGGGATCTGATAGAAGGCAGACTTGCGTCACAAACCGAGTAAAGCATTCTGCAGCATTCTGCAGCATTCTGCACCTCATACGTGTCAGCGTCAAAGTTTAGGCCTACTTTACCCCGGTGACACGAAAAACAAACAATAGGGTGTTCCAGGCCATCCAGAACGAACGTAGGAAAATAACAAACTCCCTGATTTCTTGTTTCCGAATTGGCTTTGATTGATCGAGCTATTCACGTCCCAGTGAGAAATTGGGCATCGATTCAACGTGGATTCGACGTCAATCCGTGGATCGAAAATTGAGTCGAAATTTGCATCGAATCACCGGATCTATTCCTAAAATACCGATGAAACATCTAGGGCCTACGTCGATCTACATCGATTCGACGTTGAAGTGCGGTCTATCGATTGGACGTCGAAACTTTCTGTTCACGTTCACAACATGAGTTGTCATTAGCTATAGTCATAGCCAGGCAGTGACCAACGGACGCCGGGGTAGATAAATATTAGAGCCCTTTACGTACGCGAGGCGCGAGCACCTCGTCTTACGAAGGCACGGAGAAGGCAAATCCCTTATCGGGCGTGACGGTTCATCAGCGAGAGCTAAGATCAAGTCAGTGTGCGGACCGGCATTGCCGCCAAGAAGTTCGAAAAAATGAAAGAGCGCGGGGTTGCGGGCTTAGCGGGATCGCGGGACCTTACTACCATCTGCCATGCACTTATACACGCAAAACTCGAGAAAAAATTTAAAATTTTTAGTCAAACGAACGAAAATTTTATGTCAATTTCGCCGTGGAATCGGTGGCGACTGATGAGCGTTTCAACATCAGTTCGACGTCGATTCGCCTCATTGTAAAAGTTTTTGAAAAATAGACGCTCGGCATCAGGATCACGATTCAATGTTCTGGAACACTTGACTAAGACACAGACAAGTCCATTAAACTTCTAAAACTGTGAGTCGAATTCCAAAATTATTCGACCAATATTTCGACTGCCCGAATCATCCACAGATCGACGTTGAATCCACATCGAATCAACGACCAATTTCTCACCGGGGTGCATCGACGTCCATTCAGATAGTGTACAAGAAACCGTCCGAACACTGGTAAACCAAAGGCGCTACACAGCGCATTTGAAATTTGAAAGGCACTACGTATTAAAGTTTGACGCCTCAGGAAAGGAACTAAGGTTTACGGTGTTGCCCCGTTACAGGCTTTTGTCATGTCCAAGGAGCAAATCTCTAGGGCGGCAGCCCCCCCCCCCCAACCCCCAACCCAACAGTCATTTACAGGTCAAACGCCGCCGGCAGCCCAAGCGGGGCCCGGCCCCTGCCAAGTGGAGTTGCCTGCGGAGCGAAGTGTCCGTAAAGAATATTGTAACGAGGGTACTAACCGAGGCGTAGACAAATTTTTCGTAGCTGAGCCGGCCGGAGGCCCGCCACTTTATTTGATCATGTTCTGTAGTGAATCGCGTGGCTGAAATGGTCGGGCCCCCGGCCCGACCATCGCCAGGCCAGGCAGATCTGGCCCCTGCCGAACGGAGTTGCCGGCGCAGCGAAGCGGAGCTGGCAACTCCGTTTGGCGGAAGACCGGGCCTGCTTATTTAAAACTAAAACCGGTTTTTACAGGGAAAACGGTACTGGGGAGTCTATGATAAAAAAAACTCCGTGACACTATTCGGAACAAGGATAAATTTCCTTTGGATGACATTATTGATATCTGCAGAGCAGTTGAAGCTACTGCAAGATGCCCCAGAAATGAGGACTCTGAAGCAATCCTCAGTGTTGATACAGTTCAACAAGAGAACTAGAGAACTGAGTAAGTATGAAAGTCAAAGCGTTACAGTGCGTGGATTTCATACGTCATTGTCAAAAAGTTGAGGCGCTTAACCTATAGACTTGGACCAGCAGTAGTGACTCCCTCTCTACCACAGCATCCAATTTGGTACATTTTTCAGCTTTACCTTAAATTTTGGTTGGACAGTAAAGTATGACATGCCTCTTTACCAAAATGTAATTATACTATGACTGCAAGCCACCACAGCCATCATGATCTTCAAACCTATGTGAGTTATTAATTTACGACGGAAAATGTTTTGATTTTAGTGTGTTATGTTGTTGCGTGTGGCGTCCCTGTTTCTCCTCTCGGTGATCCCGTGTACTTCGCTGCCCCGACATGGCATTTTAAGGGGTCTGTCGTGTCCTGCCTACATATGGCGCTAGTGTGTACCCTGTCAAAAGGTGTCGAGGATGTGCAAATAAAGGCAGTTATGGTGTAGACAAATGCCCGGTTCGTTTCTATACACCTGAGCAATTAAATCTGATAACACCTGCTAAAGAGAAGGAATTCTACATGGCATCCTCGGTTCTCTACTGTGCCAGGTTGCATCGAAATATCGGGGGGAAAGATGACGCTGACACGGCGCGTTTACTGGCCTCCCGATAAGTGCTGTGGGCCAGGGTTGGCATACTAAATTAAATTAAATTTTATTCTGTCAAAATTATTTCCCTTTTTGGGTGCTTTATTCTGAAGGGCAAAATTCCGGGGCAAATTATCTTTTTGTGCAAAACTAAATTCAGTATTGCACACTGTGTCTTAATAGTGCGAAATACCAAATCATTTTGCCCTTGAAGTGTAAAACTTAAACAAAATTAAATCGCACAGTCAAGGGCAATATATGGAAGTAATTTAAATTGAATAGATTAAGAGAAGCCGATATTCGCCGATCAGTGTTTTAGACAGCTAGTGTGTTGCACACGCATACCGCATACGCTGCAGGCACTCGGCAAGATCTGGGCTAGGGGTTTAGGTGGAAGCCCAGCGGGTCCGATTCGAACCCCCCGTGAGAAAAGGATAGCCTGAACGCACTATGGACTTCGCTTGGATCGTAGGTAGCAGCGCTAGTAATCCCTAGGCCGTTTCCATAGTGTTATATTTTGCAGCTAAAATTCAGTCCGCAACCAGGCGCGATCGCGGTGCTTTACTACGGCTGACAAGTATCACTGGAGACTCGACTGGGTCCAGAGGTCTGCATCGGTTGGTTCACCAGTCCAGGGAGCGTCCGAGAGCGGCAGGTGCGAGTGAGATGACCGAGCATGCCACAGCGTCATATCACTCGCACGTGCTGCATTTCGTGCACTCCCGGGACTGGTGGACAGACCGATGCAGACCTCTGACTGGGTCTCGCTGTTTTCCGGCCTGGATCGGGAACAAGTCGAACAAATCTGTGCCGCCATCAGACCACATCCGGGGCAAATCACGCCAGTCGAGACCAGAGCAGCTCGAAGAAAGAATGAACTCTTAAAGCAACTTGCCTGGTTGGTGTTGAACCCCCGACCGCTGGACGTCTGTCCGAGATGCTACCCACCGGGCCAGAGCAGATCTCTGCGAGCGACGGGCAGCGCGCCGGTGTCGTTCGCTCGCCCATTTCATCCGGCAGGCGTCAGCAGCAAGCGGAGGACACAGGCGCGCTGCCCGCCACTTCCAGCGATCCGCTCTGAAAGCATGGATTTGTTCCCGATCCAGGTCAGAGAAGGCGAGTATTTTGGAAAGTTGCGACGCGTTTCGGAGGGCATCGGTTTCGAGGTACGCATTATTTTCTGATGAGTATGAGGGGAAAGATGAGTATACGCTAAAGCTCGTTTTTTCTACAAATGGATTTTGTTGTGCGAAATGTTGCGCACTGTGCGAAAATAAAACCCTCACCTTGAGGGCAAAAGTGAGCTTTATTGTAAAATTGCACAGCGCGGAATGGCGCTGAAAGGTTTCTCAATTTCTCAATACAAAGTGTTTACCAAATTTTCGTTCTGGAGTACTGTTTTAAAATTAGTATTGCAAAATATATGTGAGGTCTTTGGTGCCCAACGCATTTAAAAACAGTAAAGGGCACATTTATCTGAATTCTCGAACTCAGACAACACTCTATTTCGCCGAAGAAGAGAAATTAAAACGATTTCTGTGAAAGCACCTCTAACCTCCTCGGGGAATGCCAGTCAGGTTACGATTACCCTTTTCCAGATAAAACGTGCGTTTGTGATGTTAAAGAATTTGTTTTTGCGATGTTCGGTGTGTGTAGATTCTTTCAGAAATATAGGTTAGCCGATTTGTGCAAATATAAAATGTAATTTTGGCCAGCTTTTACCGGATCTGAACCACTGTGCGCCGTGCCCCGCCCGCCGCCCGCCCGCCGCGCCCCGCCCTGCCACGATTGTCACGCCACGCTGCGCTCAGTTCCGCGCTACATGCCGCGTTCAAAGCCGCGTTCAATACACCGTCAAGCCGCCCGCCGCGCCCCGCCGCGCCCTGCCGCGCCCCGCCGTGGACGCCTTCTGCCTTCATCTATATAGACACATCCCCTTCCTCTCCATACTTCTTCGAAAGGGAAATATCTACATCGAAATGTTCTGGGAATTTTCACGTGGATACTACCTGTTTCAATCTCTGTCGACAAATCCACATCATATCAACATTGTTTACAAGGGCACCATTCAAAGGTTCTGAAACCAATACCAAGGGTTTCCTCAAACTAATGGATAAAGCTAAAAAGGCGAGGGGTACCTAACTTGGTCCAGTCTTCGTACACTTGCCAAAATAATCAAATTATAATCATTCACAATCAACTCCAATCTTCTCAGTCTTTTCCAGTCTGTCTACAGTCTCTCCAATCTTTACAATCACCTCCAGTCAGCTCCAATCACCTCCAGTCACACCTCCAGTCATCTCCAATCACCTCCAGTCACCTTCAGTCACCTCCAGTCACCTCCAGTCACCCTGTCAACTCCAGTCAACTCTAGTCAACTGCCAACCTCTGCCTGTTGTATTATAGGTTGCCTACTTAACGTGGCGTTACCGACGTCTACTTTACTCATGTTGCAGCTTCTCCAGTCACACCTCCAATCACCTCCAATCATCTCCAATCACCTCCAGTCACCTCCAGTCA